TTTTTTTTTTAACCTCATATTTTGAGTTTGGCTGGGGTTGGGGGTCTAGTTGATAAGTTTGTTGAGAAGGCAAAGCCCTTCCTGATGGCATATGAAGGAATTCAAAGTCAAGAAGAATGGGAGGTATATGATGTTGCTTTTGAAATATGGTTAATAGATTTTATCCTCGAAGTTGATTTTTTTGTATTCCTATCACTTTGAACAGTGTTTGGTGGGTCTTTTCTTGAATATCCATCTTTCGCGGCAAATATGCAAGAGTTTAAATGCTACGGTTATGCTAGTTATTCCAGCAAAGACAAGAAAAAGAAAAAGAGAACTGCGGGCTTCATGTATCTTGTGAGACAGATCTCTTGTACTGCTGGCTAAATGCACAGGGTAGAAGAAATTAATTACATAAAAAACAAAAAATAAATAAAATAAATAAACCAATGGGAAAAGTTGTATCAAAAACCTGCAAAGATATGCACAGAATGCTATTGAAATAATTGGAATATTATGAGTTGTGTAAAATTAGGAAGACTATTTTATTTTATTGAAATCTCAATTTCTGTTAGCTGAGTTAATGGCATGATTCTTCTATTTTGCCCTTTCTACTTATGAAATCTTGCCTCATACTGGTGAGACTTCTCAGTGTGACTGTCAGCACTTTATTTAATTACATGATACAATAGAGATCCTATTAACAATGTAATGAGCAAGGAACCGATGTGTCTAATCAGTTTGAACTACAATTGAATACTTTAATGAGTTAAACATTTATGCTGAACCATTTTAGAGTTGGTATTATGGATTTTTTTTTCCAATAATGATTTTAGTATTATCACTTGGGTTTGGAAGTTGTTTGGTGTTTGCTATTGGTTTTCAGGAAGCCGTCAAAGAAGCGATTGAGAGGGTCCTGCTATGGGAAAAGGTTATTGATCAGTACTGTCGACCTGATAGGATTACAGCAAAGAAACAGCAAGAGGAGCTAGAAAAAGTTGCCAAAAACATTCCTAACAGTGCGCCTGCTTCTGTGAAGCAATCTGCCAATCGTTTAGTTCTTTCCCTGCAGGTCAGTAGTCACTCTCATCGTTCTTTCCTGTCTCGATCTTGAAGTTGCTTTGTATACTGGTTAAATCATGATGATCTACATGAAATGTTTACCATCTGCTGTTAACATTACAATGCAGAGCAACCCTGGTTGAGGATTTGACAAGAAATTCCAATTCATGGATAAGCTTGCACGGGAGGTCCCTCAACAATACAGTTGAAGTTGGAAGGCTTGTTTCTGATGATGATGTGATTATTGAGATCCATCTTTATCTGGAATCGATATATGTTGATTCAATCTTCATTTGAAAAATAATCTGATATGCAAAATGTTTTTCAAAAAATTTTGGAGCTATGTGCTATAATTGACTGTTGGAAATAAACTCCTTAAGCAGGCCTTTTGCTTTTCTTTGCAACAATACTTCATTCGAAAACAATCATATGTGTGGTTTATTGTATGGGGATCAGCGAACAGCAATCACTAGAATACAAGCAAGATGTTAAGCATGACTATAACATGAGATGGGAGACTTTCTATGGAATGAAGTTTCTTATTATCCTTGGTGGCAAACTTTGGTTATGGACATATCACTGAAGGTTCTTTTGAGCAAATCTTAAGACACAAAGAAGCATAGAAGTAGCTTCAATGTTGTTTACAACAAAATCTATCTAAGTTTGACTATGGACTAGAGTATCATTTGTCTCGTGTTGCCAGAGTTGAATTATAATGCAAGTGTTGCAACAAAAATTTATTGGATTTGTCTATTAGAAAGCATGAAAATTAACACCTGAATTTCATGCTATCTATGAATCAATATCCAAAACACTAGTATTTCCATCAGTTGTGGACAAGACAATAGGAGACAGGTGTTCATGACTACGACTGGAAAAGCACATGACAAGAAGTGATTTGCGTCCTTGTAATCCTTTCTACTTGTGGTTTGTGTGAGTCGGTAGCATAACATTGAACAAAGATGCCACTGTTAGCAATTTTAGCAGCACCCTAATTGTTGCCATCCACCCGTTTATCTGTAAAACAAGTTAAAAAGATTCCTGCATAACCGAGGGGAAATCATTAGTCACCTCATTCTCCTGAGCAGATTTGAGTTTTCTTAGAAGAAAAACCACAAATCCAAAATCAAACATGTAATCTCTTAATTGCCATCACTCTGTTTTATGAATCTCATAACTAATAATTTAGTCATTTCTTTCTTTTGACGTACCATATGATTATGGGAACCAAACGAACAACCAGACGGTACAAAGAAAATCTGCAAAAACAAAAGATTGTACATGAGTACAGACACGGTATTAAAACCATAAGCAAAAGTGTAGAAAAGCAATGTCATAAATGAAACGAAGGCTTGAATACAAAGTCCACACTAGAGAATCTCGAACAACCTCAGATTCTTTTTTTATGACTGAAACCTCAGGTTCTTCAGAAGCTTGAATACAAGATGCAAAATAGTTTGGTTGGTGCCTGCAAAGCTGCAACCATAAAATGCATTTGAGTATTGTATATTTTTATGCAATCTCTACTTCAGGAGAACACATCAGAAACTTTTAAAAGGTGGTTAAACAACAAGAATCAAATAAACTTAGTTTTTTTATGGTGACATACCTACATTGGGATCCCTCTTTTGAAGGACCAAGGGTAGTGATAATTTGAAAAAAGACAGCTATGCACAAACAAGAGACAACATACTGGAATCAAACTCGCGCTGCTGAAACAACCTAA